CCACCGCCACCTCCACCACTTACACCGGGAGATGAATATATGCCAGAAAAGCCATCTCCTGAAACGTGAGTGCTGAAATTAGGAGGCTGCTTCACTTCTTTTGTTCTTATTTCTGCTTGTTAAATTCATCTTATTGATTACGCTTAATCATTGCTATGGCGGAAGTTTTTCGCCTTCCTTAAAATTCCCTTTATAGTCCTTTAATATACACTTTCTTGGAATACGTTCTTGCATCCATAGATACGCGGTCTTGAAAACTGCTTTCAACAAGGTAAATTAGTGGATCACAGTTTATTCACAGCAAACAAATTTCGACTATCTAAATTAGGTATTGCTATCCTATGACCTATCAGCACCCTCTTTGACTCTATTATCTCTGCTGCAACTTACAAGCCAAAGTGCCATAAAGATCATCATTTAAGATGACCCACTGTGATATAAGAGTCGGACTCTTATAATTTTCTCCTCTACCTGTCATGAACAACATTCTGCATTGTCTGTGGCGGCGCGTTGATGCTGCATAAAAGGTAAACAACCTTTGAACCAACATAAAAGGACCAACCATACCACGCTCCTTTATGGCAATACCGCAATGCCCCAGGCCATGACAGTCGTGTAATATGAAGACTTGCTAAGTATCACAAAAAATTGTGGGAGTTCTTTCCGTTCTCGACGGCTATCATGATGCTCTTCTCTTATAACTTGTCTCTTTCTCCTGTTATATCTTATAAATGTAAGATCCACGTTCTTGCCAATAAGTAATTCGTGTCAAGAGCACAATGCTAGGTCATCAAATTTTGCTATCCTCAGTCAGCATCAGACGTTTCATCCAACTGTCTATATTATCTATCACAAGCTAAACGATACAGCTAACAAATTTGAGTGGTTTATTTTGTAAAATCATGATAGCAGTTTCGAATTTCCAGTGATGAGCATGCGGAAGCTGTTTATCAGCAAGCGTTAAAGTTCCTCGAACGCGGACGCGGTCATGGCATCGAAGGAAGAAAAGCAGCCTACCGTCTTCTTGATCAAGCTGCGCAAGCTGGACACGCGGACTCCTTGAAGCTTATGGGTAATTTTTGCAATTTTTCTTTTTTCTTCTCTGCAACAATCTAATATCAGGTTTTGCTCACTTGTTTGGTGATCGTGCTCGTTGGTCTATCGACGAAGCAAAGAAAATTTTCGAGGAACTTGCTGAGAACGGGTCACCTGATGCTCAACTTGGTATGCTAATTATCTTTGAAACTGCAATTGATCTTGTCTGTGCACGTAAGCTTAGGTCTTGCCTTCATGCATGCTACTGGTATGGGAGTTTCAAAGTCCAGTCAAGCTAAAGCTCTTGTGTACTACATGTTCTCGGCTCTTGGAGGAAATCCTCTTGCACAGATGGCCATGGTACGTTCATTTCATGGTTATAAGAATTACTCATTCTTTTTGTACGTTTGATTTTTTTCCTTTGTATTTGATTGTAAGCAGCAAACGCCGGTCTTTGTTTTTTTGCTTAGTTGCATTTTCTTCTCATTCTGTTATAGAAAAAAAACATGTTCCATCGCTTGCAATCCTATATCTCCATGACCGTTCCTCCTATTTGAGATTACTCTGCAGTGAACTGTGCTCAAATTTCATCCTTGATACATCCAGGGATACCGCTATTATGCTGGAATCGCAGTTCCTCAAAATTGCGAGAATGCATTGTCGTATTATGAAAAGGCAGCTGAAAAAGTGGCGGAGGGCTTCAAATTTTCGACAGGTCTTGCCATTCAGCGAATAAGGCTTACTGATGAAATGGTCAGCTTCCATTTCGAAACATCAGCCAAATTTCTTTCTTAAACCTATATTTGTAGGAACCTTCTTCGACGAATGCTGTCACTACGCCTATGGATCAAAATCTCATAGAGTATTATCGTTTCCTAGCTGAAAAGGGTGACGTTTCGGCGCAGGTAACCTTTGGCTCTTGGGAACCTACGTACTGTTTTTATTTTCTATCAGTTTAATTCTAGTTTTTT